ATCCACCTCACAGTTGCCCTTGGCATCAAACATCTTCCACCTTGCCCAATGGATATCTCAGCAATTTATTTCCTCCTTGGACTTTGTAAAGTGGCATGCGGCTGGGAGGGCATGTTGTATTCTACATATGGATTCCGAGAACAAGTCTTGTGTTAGGACTGAAATCAGTAGGGAATTAGTTGTGGTATTATCCATATTTGCTTTACTTATTGGGAGAGACACTCTGTTGGTCTCTACCCTAATCCAAAGTTCATTCTTGAAGAATATGATATTGTTGTAACAGCCAAAGCATGGCCACATTGTTGACAGATCCAAAGTGTAGCTGTTGTCATCTCCTCTGTGTTTATGTATGTGCTTTTGTGTTGAAAGATCTCTAGAGGTCAACTGGCAAGATTTCTAATGTCTTTTGACTACAATATGATCAATCTAACTGAAGCTTTGTGAAGTAACTAAGAACACATAAATAGTGAGGTTAAACAGGATGAACTATTAGAATAACTTCTTGTAGAATCATCAGGTAAAACTGGAAGATGGCAAGAGCCCAAAATACAAAATGTGTCTGCAAAGATATAATATTTGAGCAGAAAAAACTCATCTTGAACATAAAATAATTAACCAAAAAGATTAAATTGTCATAGTCTAAGTAGTGAAGAACCAATTACGAATAAGATTTTTGACCTATTTAGTTGTTATCTAAAAAAAAATATTAGGATCAAAATCCTTTCAGCTTCAGAGCAAATCATAAAAGAGAAGTGCCAAAATAGCCTAAGCTGCAATCTCTGCCGACCGTCATTTGATGGTCAAAAGCTTGAAGACCGAAGCAGATCCCATGCGGTGCAGTGCGACGACAGCATCGCCCTGTTCGCAGAGGCCCGCAGCTTTCGCGTGCTGCATGGCGAACTCGAGCGCTTCTTCGATGGTCTCTGAGTGCGTGGCTTTCGTCATTCCGCCGCTCAACACCGGAATCAGCCCCCTGACTACCAAGCCGTGCCTCGCCGGAGCCTCGTCGCTGCAGAACCAGTCGAATGAGTCCGTCGTTATCTCCGGAGCCACAATCGATAAGATCGGCACTGGTGGTCTGTACTTCGCCACCAGCTTCCCGGTGGTTCCTCCCCTGGTGAGAACGATGATGAGAACCGCCCTCGCCGAGCGAGCTGTTAGGACTGCGGACGAGTCGAGACTCTCCAAGGGGCTCGTGGGAGCAGGCGCCGCCGCCATGAGTTGCTCGAAGACAGCACCGTAGTCGAGGTAGGACTCTGCTTCGAGGCATATCTTTGCCATCGTCTCCACGGCTAGGTCAGGGTGAACGGCCGCTGCCGTCTCTCCGCTGAGCATGACACAGTCGGTGCCGTCGAGAACCGCGTTGGCCACGTCGGTCGCCTCCGCCCGCGTGGGACGAGGGGACTCGATCATGGACTCCAGCATCTGAGTCGCCGTCACCACCGGCTTCCCTTGCACGTTGCACTTGTAGATCATCAACTTCTGCGCGTAGAAGATCTTCTCGATCGGGATCTCCATCCCCAGATCACCTCGAGCTACCCTGAAGGCGTCGGACTTGGCGAGAATGTCGTCGAAGTTAGCCACGCCTTCCTGGTTCTCGACCTTGGACATTAGCACGATGGACTTCGCATGGTCGCCGAGCAGCTTCCTGGCTTCGATAACGTCGGATCCTTTCCTCACAAAAGACAGAGCGATGATGTCGATCTTATTGATGACGCCCCATCGCAAGATGTCTTCCTTGTCCTTCTCGGTAAGCGTAGGAAGATCTACGACGACGCCTGGAAGATTGACGTTCTTCCTCTCTCCAAGAAGAGCGGAGTTCTCGCAGCGACAGCGCACCAGGCCTGAACTGCTGTCGGAGGACAGCACGGTGAGCGTGATCGTCCCTTCAGCGCAGAGTATAACGCCATCTGGTTTCAGGTCTCCAGCCAACTTGTTGTAGCTCATGGAGATCATGTTCTCGTCGCCTCGGATGCCGTAATCGGTAGAGATGATCAACTCTTGTCGCTTCTTCAGCTGGATGGGCTTGCCATCCCTCAGAAAACCAGTTCGGATCTCAGGACCCTGCAATGACCAAAGATCGACGGCCTCTTCAAACAACAACAACAACAAGAAAAAACGAAGTGATGGTAAATGAGCACGGACCTTGGTGTCGAGCATGACGGCGCAGGGGATGCCGGTGATCTCCATGGCGGCCCTCAGGTTGTGCAGCGTCTCCTGGTGGTACTCGTGGGAGCCGTGGGAGAAGTTGAAGCGGGCCACGTTCATGCCCGCTCTCAGGAGCCGCTCGATCATCTCCACGGACCTCGAAGCCGGCCCCAGCGTGCACACGATCTTCGTCTTCGGCCGCCGCCATCCCGCACTCCCACACGAAGGCGAGATCAAGATTGGAGAGCGCAAAGTCCTAGACCGCAACCCAACGCAACGCAAAGGGACGGAGGAAGTGAAGGAGGAGGAGGAGACCGAGAGAACTCTTTGTAGAAGTGGATAGTCTTTTGATTCTTCTTTCAAGGACACCTTAACTTGAACTCTTAATTAAAAAAAAAATTAATTTTTTTCACAAAATAATTCCAAATAAATGTTATAAAAGCATAATGAGAACCTGAATAATATGAAGTTTATGTAAATCCTATTAGATCGATGTAAACAAGCTTTAAGGGAATTTTATAAATAAAAAAATGATTTTATTAAAAGATTATTTGTGTGTATCATATTGATAATCTTCACAAGCTTCAGTACTACTTAAGGTAATAAGATTAAAATGATTATTAATTAGACTTTTTTATATCATGATATTTTATTTAAAAAATTATACAACTAAGATTAGCATGTGCATCATCATTTGTTCTCATCTCATCAACATATGAGTTAGATGTTGACATAATATATAAATATTTAATTCTTTTATCAATATCTATCATATCTATATTTAGTTCTTTTATGTACAAAAAAAACTTGACTTCATAAGAATATAATTTTTAACATCAATTGTATTTGTAACAAAAAAGATTTTTTTTTTTTTCATACCTAAAAGATAGTATAGACTCTTAAATATAATAAAATCATCATCTTTATTTGAGATTACGATGATTCATACCTTCTCCACTTGATGAACGATATTGTCTATCGTGATAATTGCATTGTTGCTTTTATATCCACAAAAATTAGTGAGATGATGACCATATATTTAATCAACTATCTAATCATATTCGAAGTTGTTAGATGTCATGGCTTCTACTAAAGCAGTTTTGACCATAAAACATTTGCTCTAGTCTTTATTCGTAACATATTAATAATTTTTTTATTTATAATTTTTTTTCTTTAATTTTAATATAATAGTTAATTATTTTGTGTGGCCTGACTTGTCACACCTATAACACTTAGTCCTATTTTAATTTACACCATCGTTTGAAGAAGATTCTGACTAATCAACATCATTCTTTTTCTTTTTTATTTGTAAAGAATATATTTCTATCTCCCTTGAAGTAGAGATAAGAAAATTCTCAAACTCTATTAAGGATGATTGTTGAATTTATCATTTAATATATATAACCTCTAGATATATTCAGTATAAATACCATGAATAAGATATTTTTTCATCCTTGTATCAAAATATATTCATTTGGATTAAAGAATATATTTATGAATATAAATTTTTAATCTTCAAAAGTATCAAGAAATTGATTAATCTAGACATTATATGTTAACTCATTTATTTAAAGTCAAGTCATTCTTTTTTGTTAAGCAATGTATCAAAAGTGATCCAAATCTTTCAAGTTGACTTATAGTCAATAATATATTCAAAGAAATCATGAGAGAGATCTTTAACATAAATTCAACTTGCATTGCCATCAACCACCTCTTATAGATTTTTCTTATACGAGATAAAACTTCAAATAAATCTTTCAGATCTTATAATTAGATTGACTGAAAAGTTTAATATCAAACTCATCAACCTTACTATTATAATCTATAGTTAAAAAATATTATCTTCTTCACCAAGAAAATTTTAAAAATATAAATTATTACTATTATGGCTTTGATTCCATGTAAAGATCATGGAGGATCACATGCAAGTATAATTCTTTCTCAAATAATAGTAACAAGGTAATACTAACCCAATACCTAACAAAAAAAATAAGAAATCGGGATGAAAATAAAAATAAAAAATATATTAAACTTAAAAAAAATACTTGAGAATTTGCAAGACCTACACATCTAGGTACCATGTCTCTTTTATAAGTATACAATAACAACTTAAACTAAGAGAATTTTATCATGTCTCTAATTTTAATTAACTAAGATTCTATCTAATTAAATCATGTAAAATATGAAACTTTTAAAATCCTACAAAAGTATAACTTCAAAATTTAACAAACTCAAATTATGAACTAAGACAAGTCTTACAACCCAAGTATCATAGAGATGATTAAGAACAATACAAGCCCATAAAGAGATGAATGATACTGAGATTTAAAGGAAGAACTCACTCCAACATTCTTTTATTTGCATAGCCTTTTATATCTCTGGTTCTTTCTCTTTCTCTCATCTTGGATTTTGGCTTGCTCTTGCATGGTGCTTAAGCGAATCCAACTCGGTTTGATTAGTTCAATAGACTATACGTCAGTGGTGATGTGATGTCATTTGTGATTACGTTCATGGCAGTGCGTCATATATTGTCTTGGAATTACCAGTGCAAGCAATTCTCTTCGATTCCTTCAACTTTGTCTTAGGTAGAGAAGACTAAAAGCAGTCAGCTAGATTAAGTTATTGAGTCAGTCAACGCAAGTCACAACAAGCCCCAGTATTCTACAAAACCTAGAGCTGGTGATCAATCGGCACTACCTTTCTTCCATATCCAATCGTATCCACGATGTTGGATTGGTTTATGGTCCTTTCGAGGTCATTGCATGGAAGTTTCATTGCATGAGAGATGCCAAAAACTATGCAACTAGTGGAAGATGGCATCACGAGAAGCTTCCATGAACTTGCATTGGAGTCTAAGCTTTGCAAGAGCTCCGGTCTCTCTATATAAACGATTTACGATCTGCTATTGAAGAAAATTTTAGATCTTCCAACATACTTGTCACCTTATTGATGGATGATGTGATGCTCTCTGATCTCATCTCGAACTTTGTGAGATCAGCCCTCACAAAGATCAAGTGCCACACGAAGATCAAATGCTTTATCGTTCGGACTGAGACTGAAATGGAGGAGGAGCAGCAGCAGCACCGGCGATGCACCGGCACAGAAGAACTCTCCCACCATGATATCGAGGTGATCATGGGGAGGCTCGGTCTGTTGGGTCCGAGAGAAGAGGCAGTCGACGTCGACGGTGGTGGTGGGGAGTGCAGATTGGTCGAAGAAGTTGATGCGCTGCTGGAGGAGAAGAAAGCGAGCTTGGACGAACTGAAGGAGGCGTTCTGCGTCTTCGACAGGAACGAGGACGGGTTCATAAGCCCGGGAGAGCTGTGGTGCGTGATGAGGAGGTTGGGGTTGCAGGAGGGCCTCAAGCTGGAGGACTGTGAGAGGATGATTCGTGCCTTCGACGTCGACGGTGACGGAAGAATAAGTTTCAGTGAGTTCACCTGCCTGCTAGAGAACGCTTTATAGCTTCTTCTTCTTCTTCTTCTCGTTGCAGTGCCATTAAAATCATCAGAACAATATTAATTGTTAATAGACTCATTACAATACAACATTAAGTTGATATCTATCAATAATAATGGAAGAGTCGTATATATTGTTTCTCACAACGTCAAACCGGTCAGTGACAAGTGTGTCTCTCATGGGACAAACATGCATCCCTCTTCCATGGATTCGTGTTACCGATGGCGATGCCATGGATCGCAAAGCAGAACTCGAATTCCATGACCAAGTTTGACAACCGCTACATGACAGTGAGAGAGCAAAGTAATCAATCACATGCAGAGCGAAGTGTCAAAGTAGAGAAGAAATCTGCACCTGAGGAAGTAGAGGAGTAGGTCAGGGAGGTGACTCATCGTGACGTTGGTACGTGGATATATCTCTCTATGCCTGAGAGCAAGGAACCCCACACTGGTATTTCTAATCGGCAAGGATCATCACCTCATGTTCCTGTGCTTAATATCCTATCGTAGTTATCGATTTTTGATAGACTGGTGCATGATGTCAAAAGAGGTTAGTAATCCTCTTAATGAATGCTGTAGGTGCTAACTAGTCTAGCCGATAAAGAATTTATAGATCATTACAAGATCTTAAACTCAAATCTCGTCTTAGTTAATTCTGATTGCTGAATGTGTATAAATAGCTATCGAGAGCTCACTATCTAAATGAATTAGGCAATTACATCTCATACATTTCATAGTTTCTTCTATAATTTCTATCTTTCTATCTTCTTCGTTTAATTCTTTACAAATTCTTCGTTAAAAGAAAAAAAAATACGTAAGATGTGAACGTCGATTCTAATTATTTGATGTGTCACGCACGAAGCCAATCTTGATTTTCATGTAAGTTTATCACAAGTTTGGTATCGAAAAATGGTCGAATTCGATGAGGAATAAGAGTCTCTTTAATGCTTGACTTATAAGTATCAAGAAAGTTGTAGAGTAATAGGGGATTTAGAGAGTTTGGAGAGCACAGTGTATAATTATCGGGTGTTTAATTAATGTAATGTTCATGTGTGAGTTCTCTTAAGATAAAAGAGAGAGAATGTAACTCATAAGAAGTAAACACAATTATAAGAGGAATTGAGTTGACGAAAATGTCAAGTTGATAATAATATGGTGTTCGAATGTTCGTGTGTGAGTTCTCTTAAGACAAAAGAAAAATGATGTAACTCATTAGAAGTAAACACACTTACTCATCGAGTGTTTGTATCAAGTTGACAAAATACTTAAATATATGTCAAGTTGATAATAACATAACGTTCGTGATGAAAAGAATAAAAGATAAGAGCAATTACTGAAGAAGAGAATAAGCTTTATTAAAGAAATGAAAATGCTTCTAAGTAAAAGAATTCGTCTCAACAACTCCACTAACTTTCTTAGCTTCTAAATATGAAAAAGATAAAGTCTCTCTCTCTCTCTTTCTTGGAGTTAGGTTTCACCTTCCACGATACAACGTTCTTTTACTTAAGCGTTAAAGAAAGTTTCCAAAGTGATTCTATTCACCACTGTAAGTTGTACTGATATAAGAGGACATCACGGAGTGTGAGGTAGAATGAACCCATCAACCAAATCACTGTCGATAGGACCTTGAGACTCTACTACTCCTTTTACTCTCCAACGAAGCAACGAATTGGCTCGATCGATTTTTCTCGCACCATATGAGATGGACGAGAATCGATGATAAATCATCATCGAGATTCGTAACAACAGCGAAGAACTTAATTATGATCGAGCTGTGAGAATTGAGATTGTTCTACTGATGTATGTGAAGCAGTACTATTCTCTATCACTTGCATACGGGGATGTTATCAGAAGGACCACTCACCGGAATGCTCAGCAGAGGAAAGCTCGCTACCTTGTCGTCAACAAAGGCTGCTGTCAACATGGGGGGAGTCGGCACGAGGCACCTAATCGTCGGAGGAGAATCCGACGGGGATTTCGGGTGTCAAATCGTTGCCATGATCTCCCAAGAGAACGTTTTTGTGACTGCAGAATTGAGATGGGCAGCGAGGAGACGCCGACGCCGACGCCGGTTTTGGCGGCACGTTTATAGAGTTTAGGAGCTGTGAATGGCTGGGAGATCACGAGGACGAAGGTATGAGGCGTGGGCTGTTTCATCAAAGGTGTTCGACCTTTGAACATGTGGCAGCCGAATCCAGCGTTTGGTGAATGACACCGAGAGGAGTTGATGTTTTTGCTCCTTGCCGGTGCAAGGTCGGATCCCATGATGGCACTGATATCTAGTTGTGATGGGACCTAATGGATTGTTTACTATGGAATTAATTCATGATTTTGATGGCATCGGATTGGGAGATCTTACCATCTACGATCTGGATTGGTGAGACTGTCTGATCCACCGCTGTCGTCTCTCTCGAGGCAGCAAAGGACGCTGTAAATGCCACAGAAGAAAGCATGAGGTGGGGGTGAAATTGGCGAACGAGACAAGGGCAGTTGCTGCGGCATCTTCCTCCTACAAGAATACAAGCACGAGCGGCTTCCGCGATGTCGTTGCCGGTTCTTGTTTGTTTGCTTCTTGGTGGTTTGGTTTCGGGCTTTTCTTGACTTTGAACTTGGACATGGAGCAAGTCCCACCGCCCCACTCACGTATCGGTCTCGAAAGAGACCGGTGTGAGAGTAAATTAAGGGAGAGGGGAGAGGGGAGAGGGAGAACCGTGCCGCCTTCTTTCTTCCATTTAAGGCTGTTCCTTCGGGCCTTTTACTTCTTGCTTTCTTTCTCTTTTTCCTCTGTTTTTGTTCTTCTTCAGGATGCTCTAGTCTCCGTCAAAGTTGATATCGAGGAGCGTAAGACACCAAGAAAGGTCCTTTTTTGATGCGTTTGGAACGAGTTCTTGGAAGGAATTCGTATAGGAGAGAAGGATCAAAATCTCTCCTTTCTGATCAGAATCACTCTTTTGAAGAATTCGTCTTCTCTCTTCCTGTAGATGGGGCACCAACCGCAGAAATCCGAGGCGGAGATGAGGCTTTTCTCTTCGCCGCCATCACCTTCGTCTCGTAAAGGTTTGCCTGACATTGTTGCACAGAGTGAACGAGATGAGAGGGGGATGTCAAGTGGAAGAAGAGATCACGGGCAGGCCAAGCTTTGCGTCAGAGGCCATTGGAAACCATCAGAGGATGCCAAGCTTATGGATCTTGTCGCTCGATACGGCCCCCAAAACTGGAACTTTATTGCCGACAAGCTAAATGGAAGATCAGGTGATGGTTTTCATCAGAGTTAAACAAGATAGGAATATCTTATGTTGTCAGTCCTGTTGATGATTGCATCTCATCGTTTGCAACAAAGAAAAAAGTTCTAATTTTGATGATTCTTCCTGAAGCTTAAGTTTTCATTCAATAATTTATGGTGATTTCTGCCCTCAAATGATCAAATGATAGAAAGAAAATTGAAGCCCATAGTTTTGACAATGGAAGTTTGCTTCTTTGGTCATCGGAGCAGGAAAGAGCTGCCGGCTAAGGTGGTTCAACCAACTGGATCCAAAAATCAACAAGACAGCCTTCAGTGAGGAAGAAGAGGAGAAGCTTGTCGCCTCCCACAGGATTTACGGGAACAAATGGGCGCTTATGGCGAGGCTTTTCCCTGGGAGGACAGACAATGCCGTCAAGAACCAGTGGCATGTGCTCATGGCCAGGAAAGAGAGGGAGCAAGGCAGCGGCTGTAGGAGGAGGAAGGCGTTGCCGCAGAGAACGGAGGTGAGCAGAGGGCATAACAATGCGTGGAGTGGCGAGTCCTCCATCACCAGCTCCAGAGATGAGTCTTCCTCGACTTGCACTGGTAGCAGGGCCATGCCCTGTTTCTTGAAGGACTTTGGAATGGCACAGCAGCAACAGCCATTGCAGCTCTGCTTTGGTGTGTTCCACTCTCTTCTTCTTCTTCTTCTTCTTCTTCTTCTTCTTCTCTCTCGATGTCAGTTAAGCCCATATGCCTCAGGAGCTTCGGTTTTCTTGTTTGCTTCTCCTATGCAGGAAGCGGATACAGTTTCGGGAATGAAACTTCTGAAGGATCAGCAGTCGACCATTGCAGCAATGGCTTCCTGCCAAGTGAAACTGATGGTGATCGAAAGAAGAAGTGCATTCCCTTCATCGATTTCATGGGTGTTGGAGTTTAGCTTTTCTTCAAGGAATGAATTCAACAAGTCTGCTTCATGCACAGAGTCACTAAAAATAATTAAGAGAGTAAAAAGTGGGAACAAGCACAAGAAGAACAAGAAGAAGAAGTGATCACTGCTTCTGCTTTCTTTTACTGCATGTTTGATTTAGATCATTCTTTTTATGATTCCAATCTAAATCTAAATTACATAGTAAAAAAATGATTGGAATCAAGTTGGATACTGAGTTCAAAAATTAGATATGGAAGGATCCAAGAGGTAAACATCATGTATTATTTGTATTTTAAGAAATATTGAAATAATAACTTGAACCTCTTTCATGTTAAATAAGCTAATTATTATCAATGAAGGGATTTTTTAAGAATATAGTTTTAATTAATTATAGATAAGGAAACATAAGTGAATACAATAATATCTTAAAGATTACAAATTGCACACACCCAGAAAGGATGCAGAGACAATATATTCTGTTTAAGATAAATTACACTATGTATGACTTTATATTATAGTAAATATTTTTTTTATAAAAATATTAAGTAATTTAGTTGGTAAAGAATTTAATAATTTATTATCTTCGTCATTTATTTTTTCAAAAATATATAAAATATATTTATCAGAATTTGGCAGCATAAAGTTGTTTATGCTAAGTGTATTGGATTTGGCTTTTTAGTGGGTGTTATTTTGGATCCATACCCCACCCACTGATATCGGTTCGGATCAGGATCCGGATCCGGATCCGATATTGGTCATCCAATTTGAGTATTATCTCTGATTCGGAGACTGGTTGTATATGGCACATATTGCTCTTGAAGGGCGATTTGGACCTCGACTTAAGTCACCACAGAAGTCTGTCGTCGCTAGTCGTACCCAAAGTCGTGACGTCAACGAGTGTCGTGTGTCGCGGTCATCCCAATTGTTATAATCTCCACGCACTCCACAAGCTCCGTCGAGAAGCGCCGCCTCCTAAAACCCTCGTACTCTCTCTCTCCTCTCTCTCCAAGGTCTTCGCCCCGCCTCCGTTGATGGGCGGCGTCGCTAGGCTCCTCGTTCTCCTTGCCACCCCTTTCCCTCGCCCCTCCGCCCTCCGCCTCTCCCGCCACCTCGCCGTGCCCCTTGCCGCCCTGTCCGCCGCCGCCAGCACCGCTTCCTCCTATTCGTCCCATCACTTCCGCCCATTACACCCGCGTCTTCGGCTTGGTTTCTCGGTTGTAACTGCAGAGCGGTTCCACACCCAGTTGGCCGGCGCCAGGGACGACCATGGCGAGGCGGTGGCCTCGGCGCCGACCTCCCACGCCGGTTCCATGCGTTCTTGGCCGGAGTGGAGGAAACTTGTTGATTATCTAGTCGCCGGAGGTTACTATGATAGGCAGGACTCCGTGGCTGTTGGGGAGGAAGATGATGATTCGTTATTGGCTGGAGAGGATCTGACCGAGGAATTTGTGAAGGCTGCCCAAGCCTGCCTTTCTTTTGCAAGAGATAAACCTGATTTGTTGAGGTGCTGTGGTGGTTTTATCATTAAAATTTATGCTTTTGGGATTGAAATTTATGAGCAATGAGCTTAATCTGGATTCATGTATTTGTTCTACCATTGCTGTCTCTTGCTATTCTTATAATTAAATCTTGTTCGTTTGTTCCTCAGTAGTTCATCTGATTTTACTGTTTATTGACGTATTAGGATGCTGGCAAAGAAAGATATCGAGATTATTGTGGAGAATGGCTCGCCATTCTTGTTTAAGAATGGTGCAAATTCAGTAAGGCGTTTGCAGTCATTCGTGGTTGCTGATGGAACTAAAGTAAGTCTAGTGAACTAAACATGAAAATACACTCTTCTTCATCAGTCACATGGTAGCCTAACAAAATTATAACATTGTGACAGGAAATCCCATGAAAAAGACTTATAACTTTGTTATGGGATCCGTGATTGATTGCAAATATTTTACTGTTTCCTGAACTTTTCTTTTAATTTTATTTGTTCTTTTATTTCCTTATACTTAACCTGAAGGGTGACTCCTATAATGAGTTTCATTGGTGTTTATTCGTATATAGTTGATCCCCCTTTTTTTAATAAATAATGGCATAATGATAAACCAATGAGATTTATGATGCAATGCGATAAATGTAATAGTGAGTATAATGGGCATACTATAAATAACCGCTTATATATGCCATTATAGTGTTATTAGTTTTTAATATCTACCTCACTGGTTTATGTTCATGTTTCAATTGCTTTATAATTTGTTACTCTTGGAAAAAGGCTTTCTGTTCTGGGTTCTGTGTAGTGTTACATGTAGAAGAGCAATTCATATTCTACTGTTTCACACCTTATCCATTCCACCCCAATCTTAGCACAGAAATCATTTATAGAATTTGTTCAAGTGTGTCTTGGCTAGATTGTAATGCAGTTTGATTTAGTTAAATTTGTTCTATTAAAAGCCTTGACGTTGGAAATATTATCTAAGCATTAAACGTCAGTCAAGCCCTTTTCCCCAGCTGGAAGGAAATAGATGTAGTGATAAATTTATCAATGTTTCCAATTGGAAAAATAGTTAAAACTTAATTGACCACATTTTAATTGTCTGGATGATATTAGGTGCTTGAATCTGAGAGGGCACAGACAGTTGACATTATGCGATATTTGTTGAGCTATGCTTGTAGTTCTACTGCAACTCGTGACGAGAGCTTCTTAACAACTAGAGACCTTACTGAAACAGCTATTCGAAGTCTGTTGGCTCAGCTATTTAGATTGAGTGTTACAAATCCAGAGGCCAGGTTAACTGAGATGACTCCTAGACAAACTGTCACAAAGCAGCACTTCTCCAGGCCTACTTGGCAAACTATTGAAATGAAAAGAGGTGACTGGATCTGCCCAAAGTAAGTTATGTTATGTAGTCTTTTTCCTCGACATGATATTGTGTTGAAGAATGTTTTCTATCTGTATATATATTGATTAAATTTCTGTGGTGCTATTTCCTTCTATACTAGTGAATGATACAGTATATGAGGTCATAGAAGCACTTCACAAAAGCTTTATTCTGAAGTATATGAATCAACTATAATTCTTCTGAAGTTTCAGCTGTAATTGTGAGGACTAAAACTTTATGTTTGTTTATAGGACATAGAAGAGGTGTACCATACATTATTTGTTTCACTATGTTCTTAACAGCGCTTTAGCTGATGGCTCTTTCTGGCATATATTAAATCTTAAGTATTATCTGTAATGCTTAAGTTTAATGTCCTTTCATGCCATCTTGTATTAAAAATAACTAAAGATTAAATTTTATGTCCTTGCCCACCATCTTTTATAAAAAAATTAAGTAGATTAATACATCAACCAAAATGGTCTAGCAACATCCTGTATGTGTAAGTGGAGCAAGTGGATGCTTGTTGCATCCTCTTTTTGGGTTCAAGTGCGTTGACTGTTGGCATTCGTATTAACTATGAGATTCCAATGTTCCTCGATTATATCTGACCTAGAAAGTTCAGTCAACAGATCCTTGGAAAACCTTGAAGTGATTGCTAATGTGTAACCTATATATTGAGGTTATTTTTCGGTCAGATGAAGGTTTAAAACCTTTATGTATGTTAATTTATTAGAAAGCCTGATGGAATATCTGTTTGGCTCTCATGTTTGGTAAACTTTACAATTAGATGAGATATCTTTTTTGTAAGACAAAGTAAATAACTTGTTTACTTCCATGGAGCTTCATAGGACAGCTAATCAAGTACTGTAATATGATCTCCTGGATTGCCTCTGATTGACATGAAATGGGCAATTCAAGGCAGATCCGTGCTAGTAGCAACATGGCTGCATTGTGCATCCATGGGAACCTTGTGCAGTGGCTTGCCATTAGTCGCAGTTTACCCTTTCTTTCAGTCGCACTTTATATCCCTAACAACTGGCTCTCTATATACTGAGGACTGGAATCAGTACAGGGCGGAGAAATAGGAGAGTAAGAGCGTAGGAAAGGTAAAATAACAGAAGAGGATAAGAACAGAGGTCAGGTAGAGGAGGGATGATGCTATGGGATATCAGGATCAACCAAAAGTCTCCTGCATCAAAACCCCTGTCCTCTCCCTCCTTGCTGCTTCTGCATGCAGGTAAGCCTCTCTTGCTGAGGCATATTTTGAAACTCACTGCACTTGCCAACTGTGTTCTGCAAGGATGGTGGTCATAGAGGTACTTGCCGGTCTTAAGCTTTAGTATTTATGGAAAATCATGGTTGCCTAACTTTTTTGATGCTTCATGCTCTTTAGGAGACAGTATTTGTCCCAAAAATTATAAATGTAAGAACATTCTTGTAAGGTTTAATTTTATACATCATAGGATAAGCATGTATATCCATGGCACATGCCACAGCATGGTTGTGTGCAGCAGTGCCCATTTCTATAGAGGGGCATTCCTTTAGAATGTCATGGTGCCTCAAGCATGAGCAATAAAAAGGTGAATGATTTTTTGCCATGAGGTTTGTGATAAAATGATTGCTCATTTGGATTTATCTAATTATGAACTAGTTTGGTTGATTTTTGGTTTTTCAGGTTATTGTTTCCTGTGTGGAACTTAGTCATAAATGATGTGATAAATAACTTCCTGTAGTTACATTTATCATGATTTTCTCTTAGAAAAGTCTTAACATGTTCAAAAGATGAACCTATGTGGTGTGATTCTTCTTATCTGTTTTCTATTAGTAGAAAGTTTACTGGTATCTGTTTTGTTGTTGTGCAGATGTAGTTTCATGAATTTTGCGAGGAATATGGGATGTCTTGAATGCAATGAAGCACGACCAAAAAAGATCTTGAGTGATGGAGAGTGGGAGTGTCCTCAGTAAGCTTTTCTTGCTAAGCTCTCTATGTTAACCTCTGATGTTGGTTTCTTTGTTGATACTTACTTTTTTTTTTTGTTTCACATATTCTAGATGTGATTTCTTCAATTTTTCAAGGAACATGTCTTGCTTAAGGTGTGACTTCAAACGTCCCGGAGGAAGCCCATTTGGTACTGCTTCCTCAGATGCTCATTTAGGATATAATGGAAGTTCAACTGTTGAGCAGATCCTTAAACGAAGCAACCTTGATAAGTCTGAAATTGAGCGGAAGTTGGCTGCCAATGATGAGAAGGCAGAAAGATGGTTCAGTAAAATTTCCCAGCTAGATGATTCTGCAGATTTGAGCAGTGCAATAGATGATGAGGATTTCCCAGAGATCATGCCCATGCGGAAAGGGATGAACAGGTTTGTTGTTAGCACAAGAAAAACACCCTTAGAAAGGAGGTTGGCTAATGCTCAGAACAGAAGTAACTTGGGAAATTCTGGCTTTTCTGAGGGTCATGAGTTACAGCCTGGTCGATCAAATGGAATGAACTCCCATAAACCTTCAGAATCTTCAATCAGTCAGATGTTGGACAGGATACTTGGTCGCTCATCAACTTCATCAGAAACAAGCCATCCGGTGGTTGCGGGAGGGGATAATTCTTCTACTGGGAGTAGATTTAGTTCTTCAGATTATAGGCAGGGAATGGTAAACCAAAGGACAGATCCTGATTCTGTACCTTTTGTGCCTTTACCTGCAGATATGTTTAGTAAAAATTCTAATCCAGATAATAAACAATCTCTAAATACAGAAGATTCAGCTTCTCCAAAAGCTAGCCAGCTGGGTGATCCTGTGTTCAAGGAGTCTGAAAGCTCAGCTGAAAGCAGGGACAGTGATTCCTTTGACGCTTCCAAGGGATGGTCTAAGAAAGTCACAGAGCTTGATAATGTCAGGGATATGGCAAATGCCATATCTGATGATGACTTTCCAGAAATCATGCCCATGCGTAAAGGTGAGAATCGATTCATAGTCAGCAAAAAGAAAGATCGTTCTCTAACATCACTACAATACAAGAGGCGGATAGCCATGGAGCAGGCCAATAGTGGCAATTTTGTTCCCTTTGTACCGTTTCCGCCAGACTACTTTGCGAAGAAAGATAAGCAGCCTGAAACTTCTCCGACTGAAGGCTCTACATTGCATGAGAAGGCTCGGAGTGAGACTGAGAAGTCTGAAGAGTCCATGACTGGTGTTGCTAACTCAGAATCTGGTGGAAATGCAACCCGGCAGCTGGAGAATTGGTCTGCCAATCAGTCTGACCATGGGACTACTAGCACAAACCCTCCCAGTATGGATTTGACTTACCGTAAAATGGATGCTTATAATGTTGGAGGCTCTGCAAATTCAGCTCAACCGCTGAATACCTCATGGAGAAACCAGAGTGAGATCCCAAGCAATGATTTCTCTCAAAAGAACACGTATAGTGGTCCTAGCGTTTCTGCCAGTACTCAGCAGACAGAAAATTCTAAAAGTGCGAGTGAGGGCTGGAAACCGAGCTTTAGCGGAAAGAGCTTAGAAGGATCTGCCGTCACCGAACCTGATCCTCTTGACATGTCGGAGGAGGCAAAAGCAGCAAGATGGTTCCGTCGAGCCGCTCAGATAAAAGATATCTCCGAACTAAGCAACATTCCTGATGAAGATTTCCCAGAGATAATGCCTATGAGAAAGGGGGTGAACAGATTTGTTGTGAGCAAAAGGAAGACACCATTGGAGAGGAGGCTGACATCTCCTCAATACAGAAGAAGCCTGCCTATCGTTAGATCTGAGCCCGATGAAGATGCCAACTGAGTTGTAGTATTATCTGCAGCCAGAGAATGATGCCATCATCAGATGTAGTTTCACTGTGTCATCAATGTTGACTCGTCTACTACTCGATTTTGTCATGTTTGCCCTAATAATGATCTCGAATTCCTTATTTAACTGTTACATTAGTGATTCAAATTGGGATATATATAATATGTTACATCTTTATGTGTCATAGTTTTCCGGTTCAAATATCAATTGATTTGCTTCATAGCAATATGTGGGACGAGGCATTGCATATCGCCGCGGGTGGCCGTGTGTCCATCAGGACCGTCCATGGTAGGTTGTGGGATCCGACCCGCCATCGCACGGCTGCGATCCACTCCCCAATGATCATCATCCACGTAGCAGCCTCACGTTTCAGTTTCAATTGCCATTAATCTACCCATTAATTACGGAATGGCCGCTGCTTCTTTAAGCGGAGTCCACGTCGCTGGCCTCCGCGAGATTGGATTCCAGTTCTTGAGGGGCGATCCCGATCGGCTCATTTTGAGGGTACGGTCTCGACCATTAATTCCTTTTTCCCTCTTTATCTCCAATTTCGCTGCAGATCGATAGGGTGATAGCTTATATGCTTTTCACTCCCTTCTGTAGTTTCCTCGATCAGATTCGGAACCCTAACTTTTCAATCGAAATGGGTTCTTCGTTTCTTTTGCTTTTTTCTTTCGAAACGGAGTTTTCCGAACGGGATTCATTTATTCCGCCACCGTTGTTTGTGGTCTAGGAATTTTGTGGTCTTCTTTTGGCTGATGTCTCATAGCCTTGTTCGGTTTGATGTTGGACGCCTATATTATATTTGATGAATTGGATTCGATCTAATGTGTATTTCATTCTGTACTTCTTGATTCTGTTAGTGGATTTTGACTTCTTGTTTCTTGAGACTGTCTTGTTTGACATATATCAACTGTATGCAGGGGATGGGGAGAATTAGGGCTGTCCTGTTAGCAGTGGTGTTCCTTGCGGCAGAGATGCCGCAGTTGTTGGGATCCCCTGTCACGGGGCCTGCTTTTCTTTGGTCGCCTCAACATTTTGGGTATTGAACTCCTGTTTTCAGTTCAAGATGGGGGGACATTAAGGGGGCGGGGTACTAGAAGGATAACATGTGATTTGATCCTTTGAAGCAAATTATTAATGATTTCTTATTAATATTTTTTTTGTTACGATAGTGATGATTGAATAGCACAATTGACATTGTCCCCGTTTGTGTTATACTACTAATGTTGATATATTGTGTTTAATCAGTGATGCTTGCCTTTTGTTTTACTCGTTTTCACCTTTTATGCTTGGATATGATACTTTATGATGATTGAAATGCTAACTGATGATTTACAATTTTGGAAATGATAGCAAGTTCTTTTTGCATCATTTTGTTTTAACATATACATATTCTAGTTGTAGCTTGTTTGCAGACTTTTGTAGTCACTAGACTCACTATAGTAGTCTGTCCTGCTGCTCTGCTTTCGGTTTTGGTCAACCTTGAATATCTGTTTGATCATCCATATTGATCACAAAGAAAGAAAAGGGTTTTAGATGAGGTGGAAGTAAACATTCTTGTTAGAACTTGTCACCAAATAACATAAGATATGTACCTTTTCTAATCCTCTCATCTTTTTGAAGTTCTATTCTTTTAATGTAGAGAGCATAGGAAAAGATCAAACCACTATAGAGTTAATTGTAAGTATAAAACTATCAAGCATGTGATATTAAAGTGTCTAACTAGAAACATGGCTGAAATTCTCTTCTTTATTTCCATTGTCCTCTTAATGGAACCAAAAAGAACATGACCTGATATGGAAAAGGGTCTAATTATCTAAATCTTTCTTTAGGTAACTTTGTGAAGATATAAAAGGGAATTCATGATGAAGTTTCTGTGTTTTCTTTACAAGTAGACTTCTGAAGCATGATGTTATGTATAATTTTGGTTTTTGTTAATTCCTGGCTGAAATGTTTCGATAGTTTAAAAGATTGTGGGTATCGTGTTAAGCAATATTGGATCTTGATTATTAAAAAAATATAATTGTTAAAAGTAAAATCTTGAATTCATCTGCTTTAAGATCTCGATGAATCTAGATAAACATTTAGAACTCAAGGAAAATCTTCTCTTTTAATCTAATGGAATATTCATGATGGTTGCTTGCAAGTGAGGGGATGGCAGTTTATTTTAGAAAGGGAAGATACTAAATAAGGAAAAAGTGGTGAGTGTATCTTCTGTTTTAATCCTTAAGGAGAATCCCTACATCTCTCTTTGTGTTCATGTATCTCTTTGTTCTTTATTATAGGCAGACATTCCTATTCCTTGGTTATCTTGAGGTTGATTTCACAGCCTCTTGTGATCTGGGACATGGGACAAATGACAAGCAGCAGCTAGAGATGTTCAGGATTAGTGAAAACTGTGAGCTTAATTGTAAGTTTATTGGTAATGTGGGGTGTTGACAGAAGGATATGGGCCTTGATACTTTCAATTCAAAGTTAATGATGGATCACTCAGATGGGAATCTGTTGCCATTGAACAAGTGAAACTAGAGCGCACAGGAAGAAAAGTATAAACCTCTTTGTGATTACTTGCAAATGCATTATCTAAAACAAAATTGTTGGTGTGGTTAGATTTGATATACAAAAATTTATCTATATATCAGTAGCCCTAACATTGATGGTGATGTTCACCTACTTCTTATGCCTTGCTGCAATTTTTATAATGCATGATGTTTCTGTTTTTTATGGTTCCGTGCAAAGTTTATATCTGAAACTAGTGTTCTGCTTGTTTTGTAGATCATCACAGCATGACAATAAAGAATTTGTTGACTACCGAACATTCTCCCCAAAGGATTTGACAAAATCGGTTTTGTCTGAAGGAGGTTGGTCAAATGTTGTGGTAAGTTGTCCACTTGATGATTAGCTATTACGATTCAAAGCATTTTCTTGATTTAACTTAAACTGCTTATTTGTGGTGCCTGTAATATTTGACTTGGACATATCTTTTGTAGTGCACTCGGGAAAAACTTAATGATAACATGGATGTTGCTGTTGTTTTTGTTGGAAGAAAGGTAATGAAGTTTGTTAACACACAACTACTTGTTGCTTCATGGTTGCTTCATAATTAAGGTTTCATTAAAAAAAGAGGATGTTATGGAGACATGGACTGCTAATTTATGGTAAAAGGATGCTTGCTTCTAAAATTGAATACGAAGAATTATCTGGCATCTATGTCCTGTCTAAAATTCATTTTACACTTACACTTAAAGAATTATCTAAAATTCATATTTACACTTAAAGAATATGAGATAGGAGGTTCATTTGTTAAAAAGAAAGGACTCAGTTCTATGTCCTGTCACAGGAAACAGTTTATCACAAATTGGAATATTAGGCAGTACAATGTCTTGGTTGTATTCTACTGTTCATTGAGCAATTTTTTCTTTTTTTAGAAACTGAAATTTGACCACATGCTGAATTTATGATAAAACCTATTGTCTTGTTTATGCTTCTCTATACTAACTGCTGACCGTGTGCTTCCGTGTCTTGTAGTTGCAAACATCAGATATCTCTAGTATTAAACAACCAGATCCTTCTTTGATAGACATTCTAAAGGTAACCAAATTTGCTTGTTCTTTTATGTGTTTTCGCAATCAAATTTTTGGTCAAGTCTTGATATTTAGATCTTACTTTTCTGTGTTGCTATCTAGCTCTCGTTCACAACTTCAAACTTCTCTATGGCATTTCCATATGTTGCCATAGATGAACAGGAGATGCTGGAAAATTCTTTAGTAAAAGGTTTTGCAGAAAATTGTGGACAAGGGTTAGGAGTGAATCGGATTGCATACTTGGACTCCTGTTCTCTCGATGGCGGAAACAAGAAACTTGAAGGCCTACATTCTGTTCATGTAAATTAATTGTGTTTGACTTGTTAATCATGCCTCTATAGTTTCATCTAATTGTTAATTGTCTAAATTCTAAATTTTAAATGACGTAGGATATTTTGGCTTCAAGAATAAGTGGGAAGATGGATTTGATTGTTTTGTGCAGTGGAGACTCTAAAGAATCAGACCGCACTCCATCAGAAGGTTTGTTGTTAGTTTTTAAAGAATGGTTTTTGGTGATATTTCACATAGAATAAGAACTGCAGTTATTTTTACATCGATTTGTTGTTATATGCAGGGGAGGCTTTATCTAATGTAGTTGATATGCTAAAGCAGTCTGGTGCCAAGTATACGATTCTCTATGCTTCGAGACCATACAGGACAACTCAGTACCCCGCCCATTTGGCAGTAAGGTTTCTTGCAGAAAGCCCCCAAGGCCAAGCATCTGCTAACTCAACTTGTGATGGAGTTTGCCAAATAAAATCATCACTCCTTGAAGGGATATTTGTGGTAAGCTCTTTGGTTGGTTCTTGTTTATGGCATCAAACTTGAGGTTAATTCTTCTGATTAAGTGACTATTGAAAATATCAGCAGCAACTAATGTTGATGATCATATTGCAGTGAGTGAGTTCCTTTTTCCTTTTAATTTTCAGATGCTGAGGTTCTTTAATTATTTCATTTTTTTTGCACAAAAAAAAATCATAAATGGTCTATTATATGAAAAGTTATCAAATCGGCCATGTTCTAATTGCAGAAATGTTATCGTTAATCTGCAATTTACTATTTTCTGTCGATTCCAATTATTTAGAGATTGCATAGAAAATCATACTTATGGGTCATTCTATACTGAAATTAGCATTAGCACGAGACACATAGGTTGTTTCAGTATCTATTTCTTGTTCTTCCTTCAGAAAGTTCCTAATGACATGCTATTGATATTTCTCTCTTTCAGGCAATTGTGCTGCTCATAATTTTGATATCAGGACTGTGCTGTATGATTGGAATTGACACACCTTCAAGATTTGAGACTCCGCAAGAATCTTGAGAAGCTATGTTAGATGGGCTTATCATTGATGGACCAGTGTGCTACCCGGACATGAGACATGTATCTCTGCGATTCACATTATAATAGCTCTGCTCTCTTGTGGGCAAGGCTGTCTTGTCATTCTAATCAATAATACACTGCTCACGGCCTGTGTGTAAGGTATTTGTTCTCCTTCAGGATTTCTAGATCCAGACACAGGCTGAAGTCAACTATGAAGCATATTCCCATGTTGTATTATGAGTCTGTATTGCTTCCACATTTTTCTTATCCCACACTCTGGACTTACACATGCTGCTACGTTGATGTTTCTCATCTCCATTTTTTCTACAGCATTCAACTTCGTTGGTGGTGGTTCTGGTTATAATTGAAGCTCTTGTTCTGGTTTGTCAGTCCTCTCTCTCTTTTGCAAGATGAACATTTATCGTTTAGATATGGGTCATCTTCCCCAGCCTAATGATCGAATTGCTAGACCTCCATGCATGTTTTCATTCACTTGCTTGATGGAATGCTGTTTATATAGTGAAACTTGCTGCAGTTCTTGTCCAAAGGTACCAAATCAGAAGTTGGCATCACTCTCATCTTAGATTTATTACTGTTGTTTATGTAACATAATTGTGCTAAGTTAATGGTTATTAGGTGTTCTATCATCACACGTAAACCCCAAAAAAAAAAAGTAATAAGCCTAAAAGGTTTAGGGTATGTTTATCTGTTTATTAAAAGAATAATACTCGGGGGGGTTATCCGATGAGTGAAGGGCTCCATCCGATAAAAATAAATTAACGAGGGCTTTTGTCTGTAAATTTTCCTAATTTTGAAAGGAAATAGAATTATTTTATAGCGGTGCATAAATCAGAAACTTCAAACCCTAAAGCAACTCGAAGCGGTCAGAGTTCTGTATATAAGATGTGAGCCGGCCGCAGTACCCTTGCATCGAAGAACGATGGCGGACGAGTCGAAGCCTTTCTTTCCCGTGGAATCCGCGCACCACGTCAAGCCGCCTCCGCCCCGACGGGCACAATCCCTTACCCCGGAGTCCCGCTTCTGGCGCTCCTTCCGCCACTCCGAGCTCGCCTCCGGCCTCATCCTCCCCGTTACCGCCCTCGAGTTCTCGCCGGTTGCACCCTACCACGTCGCCGCTGCCTGCTCTGCCGCCGTCCACCTCTTCGACGGCGCCGCATCCCCTTCCCTCGCGCCCCTCCCCCACTCCCCCCTCTCCGGCTTCTCCGACGTCGCCTACTCCCCCTCCTTCCGCTGCGATGGCGCCCTCCTCGCTGCCGGCGGTGAGTCCGGACTCGTCCAGGTCTTCCGCGTTGACAAGGCCGGCCCGCCCCTCCGCCGCCTCCGCGCACACGCCCGCCCCGTCCGCGTCGTACGGTACCCCCGAGTGGCTGATAAGATCCACCTCTTCTCCGGCGGCGACGACGCCCTCCTCGCCTATTGGGACGTGCCCTCCGAGGCCCAGGTGGTCTCCTTTCCTGGCGCCCACCGCGACTACATCCGCGCCGGGTCCGCCTCCCCCACCAGCCCCGAGGTCTTCGCGACCGGCTCCTATGACCACACCGTCAAGCTCTGGGATGTCCGTGTCCCGCCCGGTTCGAACCTCTTGCTGGGCTTCAGCCACGGGGATCCCGTTGAGAGCGTGCTCTTCTTGCCTTCGGGCGGACTTCTTGCCACCGCAGGTGGTAACGTGGTCAAGATCTGGGATATCATTAGCGGTGGGAAGCTGACTCACACGATAGAGAGCCACAACAAGACAGTCACTGCCTTATGTCTCGGAAGGATCAAGAATGAGAGCCCCAGCGACGACGGTGGGGAACCGAGGCTTCTCAGCGTCTCCATCGATGGGTACATGAAGAGCTTCGATTTTGCGACCTTCAAGATCACTCACTCGATGAGGTACCCGGCCCAGCTCTTGTCAGTCGGGTTCTCCCCATCCGGCAATGCTCGGCTTGTTGGGACATCGGATGGGGTCATTTACATGGGTATGAAGAAGACGAAGAAGCAAGAGGAGGCAAACGGGACAAATGCTGCTAGTGAGCTTGATGGGTTCATTCCTGAACCTGAGAAGCAAGTTCTGAGGCCGACGAACTATAGATACTTTCACAGAGGCAAGAGTGAGAAGCCACAGGATACAGATTATGTCATTCCGAGGGCAGCAAAGGTGAAGCTTGCCGAACATGATAAGCTTTTGAAGAAATTTTGGCACAAGGAGGCGCTTGTTGTGGCACTGAGTAAAAAGAGCGCAAGTAGTGTAGTTGCTGTGATGGAGGAGCTGGTGGCTAGGAAGAAGCTGCTCAAGTGTGTGGCAAACTTGGACGTCGATGAGCTTAGATTGCTCCTACGTTTTCTGCACAAGAATGCTACGTCCCCACGGCATGCAAGGTTTCTGATGGGCTTGACAAAGAAGGTTCTTGAGATGCGTGCAGATGATATTCAGTCTAACAACAATTTGAGGATCTACGTTAGGAATCTTAAGCGCATGATTGCAGAAGAAATCCAAATACAGCGCTCTTTGCAAGAGATTCAAGGAATGATTTCTCCTCTGCTTGTAATAGCTGGAAGATGAGGCTTTTGGTGCTAGTTACTGGTGTGGGTGTGTGGTTTATGAACTGATGTGAGAATCCAACATCTATGCATTGGCTGTATTGGTTGCAGGCCAAACACATCAGACGTCTTATCAAACAACACAATTGGTCAATACTTTAGAGTTCATGTGCCTGGTTGCTTAGGATTTTTGATTATGAGACCAGTGATGTAACATTTTGTTAAATTTTACTTTTTTGCATTGTCTTATGTTGATTCTAATTTTCAGGTTAGGTATGGTTTGCAGCATATCTGTTCCGGTCTATAATTGGAGATAGACCGGAACAGTTAGACTGGATAATTTTCAGCATATGGTTTGCAGCATTCTAATTTTCAGCATATCTTCCCCCCATTGCATCATGTTTTGAACATACCTAGTTTGTTTTTATTTGCTTGGATAGGTCGGTGAACAAATTGCCAGACGCTAGACTGGATAATTTGTCTGGCTAAATTGGATCAGTTTCTGAATTGGCTTCAACTTCAAATCATATTAGATTCCTAATTGGTTCGGAGCACATGTAGTCCATTTCCAGACTCCAGTTTTCTTGTCTTGTCTTCTTCTGATTTCATATGTATCCGGTTGTTTCTATGACATGTTCTTTTCTTAGCTAATTTTCATCCTTTGGCGCTGTTGTTTTAAGTTTTAACTACTTCAATGTCTGAAACTTTTTAGGGTTGGATGTCATGGATTTTGTGTTGGATCATGAAAGTATAACCTGGTTTAGTCAAATTCTAATGTTTTATTAAATCTTGAATTATATCCTGTCGGCTAGACACATTTTTCTCAGTCTTTCTTTTCAATAAGTGTCAAAGTTGAGCCAGAATTGGTTCTTTGATTTTTCATCAGTATCTCTGTATTCCAAAAAAATGGAGATATCGATGCTAGGCCAGTAAGCTGAAAGAATTCAGAGAACAAGCTGAATGAATGATGGTTGGACAACAAATGGGTGCTCATTTTTACTTCGTAAGTGAGGGTTCCTTTTTTCCAGCTTGTTTCTCTTTTTAATGATAAAATAACAAATTATTTGATTATGAGATCAGTATCATTACATTTTGTAAAATTTAAGCGCACATTGTCTTTTATTGATTCTAATTTTCAGATTAGGTTTGGTTTGCTGTGTCATATCTGATCTGGTTTATTTCCAGAGCTCTCTTCACCCGCTTGATTGTATACTGATGTTGTTTATTTACATTCTTGCTTACCACCATTAGATCAAGTTTTGAACATACCTCATTGTGGATAAACTATGCAGAAGATATTAAAGATATTTTGTTTCTATTTACTTAGTGGTTAGTGCCATAAATAAATTGCCAGACACTAGATTGGATAATTGATCTTGTTGCTAATTGTAATCCTGAATCAACAATCTGATCCTGCTTAAATCTCATCAGTTTCTGAAACAGCTTCTTCAGCCTGATTTATATTAAGTTCCTAATTGGTTTGGGGCACATCTTTTTCAAACCCCAATTTTTCGGTTTCCTTGACTTGCTCTTTTCTTTGTTAGTTCTCATACTTTGTTATACATTGTTCCACATTTTCATTCCCATGTGTTGCACTGTGCTTGAATGGTTGATTTCTTGAATTACTAAGAATTTGCTCTCTAAGCCATGAATGTTTTTAGACTTATGAAGGTGTGCCATGTTTACTTTCTGATTGGCTGCTGGAAGCTCTTATTCATCTTCCTCTTTCAAGTATCATTGTTGAGCCGGAACTAATGAGTTGATTTTTTGTGGGTTTCTATTTCTTGTGCAGGGCAGATCTCAGAGGGAAACAACCTCAGTTAACAATTCATCTTGTTCATGTTTTCTACGCAAGTATGTGCTCCTTTTGCCAGCTTCTTTCTTTCCTATAGGTTTGGTACTACAGTTCATCGATACTATATCTGATCTATGTTAATGTTGGATTCAGCATTCTTATCTGTCACAGAAGATGTTTTAGCATGACATTCATCACATTCTTGCACATCTATTTTCATATTTTGTGATAAGGAATTTAGTTTCAGTAGAACTACTCCTTTGCAATCTGTGTGACCATGATTTGAGTTGCCACATTAATTTCCTTGTCTGCAAGAACAAAGATGGCAGCTACATTGACAATCTTTGGCAGGGTGAATGTAGCTATACAACAAAAATGTATAGGTAAAAGGGGATAAAGGATCCCCTTGTCTAATACTCCTTTACCCTTTGAAAATAAGAGGAATGCCTACCATTGATGCAACAAGCAAAGAAAGGGGAAGAGAAACATTTCATGACCCAATCAATAAATTTAGGAGGAAAGTTGAAAGCACCTAAAGCCTTACCAATAGCTCTCCAAGAAAAGCCATCGTAGGCCTTTCCAAGGTCCAGTTTAATCAATGCAAAAGGGTTTTTTCCTTTGGAGTCATAAAGGGAATGAGCCAAGCAACCAAAATAATATTATTGACAAGGATTTTAGCCAAAATATGATAATTGACATTACATAATGAGTCTTTGAATAATAGCTATAAAACTCAATAGTAAAGTCATCTGACCCTAGACTTTGAATTCCTCATAAAAGAAAGGTTTACCACCCAAGGAAGAAATTGTGTGACTTTGAATCCCACTAAGAGAAGGCCAAGCTGGAGAGTGGTGCATGGAGGAATCATCCTCCAACCAAAGATTGTGATAGAACCTAGTGAACTCAAGCTATAATGATAGATTTAGGGTGGTCAATGATATCACCATTCACCTTAAGCTGCTGGTTGATGAGGTTTTGTTTACTTTCACCAGGTAATCAAGTTATAATAATATTCTAGTGTTTCAGTCCCTCTCATTGATCCACTTAGTTTTATTCTTCCACTGCCATTTGGTATTAATTTGTCTAATAATAGCTTGTAAATGATTGTGAAGACAAATCATCTTGATGTTTTTGTCCTTCGAAAGATCCATGTAGGCTTCTTTGTTCTCAAGCACCAGAATCTGCTCCTAAAGCTTATTAGAGGAAATGTCTTCTAACTGCCCAATTCTTCTTTGGTTATGAGCCAGTTTAACCTCTCGAACTAGGGATTGAAACGGGTCTTAGGTAATTGGGTTCTCATTTGCATAAACACCTTCATTCAGATCCAGTTTGTTGGGAATGGGTAATTGGGTCCCATAATAGACCTTAGGAGAGATCGTGTCTCCAACCTCACCCAATCGATCACCATCAGAAGCCACGTGGGTCGTGATAAGCACGTGCTCCTCGTGAGTAGGATGCTGAGAAGGTGACCCACACCATCGTCGTCTTCTCCGGCTCCGGTTAAATGTAGAAGCCAGCAGCCGTAATGTACTTGGCAGAGTTAAAATATAGAAGATGTAAGTAAAATCATATAAATTTTCTCATGCATGGCTTGTTCTTGTGTTCTGATTGATAGTACAGAGGACATCGAAACCATTTCTTCTTGTACTGTTGCTAGAGGACAGCAATCACATCATATTTTATGGCAGAGAGCATGAAATGTACAGGTCCAGTCCTGGCTTCTACTCCCTGCTCCAATTGCCACCTATCCACAAACTCTCTACGCTACAAGTTAATATCACTACCTAATTGTTTGTGTTCTTTCCTCTCCGCAGAGACTTGTACCAATTCATTGCCAGGCCAAGTGGGAGGAGTATGATATCAGTTGAGGATTACAGAGATCGAACTCGAAGTCGTCGATCAGGTCGGTGCCAATTCTCGACCCCGTTGGTCTCTTTGCAGGAGATGACAACGCTTCATCGCCGTCTCCGAACCAGCCATCTGCTACCCATTGGCGCTTCAGGTTGTGAGGGAGACGACTGCTGTGAATCCTACTACTGTCGATGTTGTGGCGGTTCTCTAGACCGAGCACGTCGGAGTAGTCGGCAGCGTCGAGGAGGAGATCCGACAGGGATTGATGCGTCGTGATTGATGGAGTTGGGACGAAGACATCCTCCACAGCTGAGGACTGACTGCTGCTGCTGTTCCTCTTGTAGATTCGGCAAAGAACCCAATCGTCCAGCTGAAACGAGCAGGCAAAGGGAAGACTCTGTCATCTGCCGTTCCAGCAAGGGAGACGTGAGGAGGATCGTACCTTCATGGAGAGGTCTCTGAGCTCGATGGGCTTGTAGCTGTTCTTGCTCGGTGGTTCAGCAAGGCGATACTCGTGCATGATCCAGTTCGTCTTGACACCCTTCGGAGGTCTCCCCTTGTAGAAGACGAGCGCCTTCTTCACCCCAATATAGGAGTTGCCTGAGCTGGTGACCACAGGCTTGTCGATCCCGGTCGCCTTCCAGTAGCCGGACGCCGCCGCCCGGTTGGGGCGGTACCCGTTGGGGTACTTCCGCTCCCTGGGGCTGAAGAAGTACCACTCTCCGTCGCCGAAGGTGGCTTTGGCTGCATCCGGAAACACAGAGAGGAGGCGTCAGCGGAATGCGGCGGAGATCAAGGAAGGCGACGGAGAGGGTGGCACCACTGACCGGGGAGCTCCCACGGGTCGAACTTGTAGATGTCGACCTCGGCGATGATGGAGACGGGGCACGGCAGCGAGGCGGCTCGGTTGCCGAGGTAGTGAAGGATGAGTTCCTCGTCGGTGGGGTGGAAGCGGAACCCCGGCGGAAGCAACATACCTGCACTCGACATGGCTCCAACTCCACGCTAAGCTTCTAATCTTAGCTGCTGCTGCTCCGTTTCACCCGGAGGAAGAAGACCTGGAATCTTGAGCGAGGAGGACGAGGGCACGGTTATATCAACGTTGGGTTTTGTCGTTTAGTAGGGAGGCGGCCTACCAAGGGTAAAATGGGAATTCGGGCAACGGCGCCGGATATCTTCGAGGTTAACCGGATGCTCTCTGCCGTTGGATGGAGGAAACCCATGATCTGGACCGTCGGTTCTCCGCATAAAGCGTGTGCTTCGAGTAATACCCAAAACACCCTCGTCTTTGTCACCCGCATTACGCGCGTCAGCAATGCATGATTCAGACCCGAGCTCAGAGAACACAGAAGAGCACCGAGAGCAAATGAGCATTGGACAGGTGTCCTAGAGGTACGAAACGTTAGACCCTTTAATCTTCGTCTGTTTTCTGTAGTGAACCATCGATTACAACTTGATCGCGATCTCGGTGGATTGACAGCACACGGATCGGGACACGCGAAGAGGGGGGAGGGGAGGGGGTGGGGGAGGGAAAGAGGAATGCATGCACTTGTCGTGCATGGGTTAGCGTGACGTTTGGTCGTGGAGTTGGGGAGGGCACAGG